CAGGCAACACTGTCGCACCTTAGCAGGTTTTGCTCCACCCCTGCTTGCTGTAGAGCCTTTCCCTGGTGTTCTGCGACTTCTCCACCGTTGGGGCTGCACCCCTTCTTTTGCTTCCTGATGGAAAAACCACTCGCACTGCTGTCCCTGCCTGGCCTGCTTCACTCCCCCTCTGCCTGCTCTCACCACTGGCCTGCTGATGTGACCGCTGACCCTCAGCTCACATGGCCAACCCCTGCCATGTTTCCAGACTCCTTTTGGAAATCACACCCGGCAGTCTTCACAGGACCGCCCGGGGACATTCAGTCACGGGGTGTTTGTGACAGGAACCAGGAACCATGTGTCACCGCCCATCTAGAAACGGGTCCCTCCTCCCGGCGGCTCGGGAACACAGGCGGGGCAGAGCGCCCCTCTGTCCTCTGCCAGCATCTGCGCCAACAAAGCTGAGTGTGAGCTCACTCATCCTGCTTGTCCAGAACTTCCCATCTCAGGCCGCTGTCCTGGGCTCCTTCCTCCCGCCCAGCAGGCCTGGCCCAGCCGGTCAGCCGTGTCCTCTGGGCTTAGAGTCCAAGGGCCTGGGCAGAGGGCAGCTGTGTGCCCTTGGGGAAGCCACTCGCCTATTGCTGTTGGCATGTGGCTCTTGTTATCCCTGCGATGACCTACCACACAAGGTGGCTCAGCTGACAGTGGGGACAGGCCAGCCTGAGCCAGCCCCCTGGGTGCGAGGCCCATGCAACTGGGCCTGGAAGGAGGGGAGCCAGGCCCTGAGCCTCTGCAGGCTGCAGCCAGAGCACCCCCTCTCGAACCCCAGGGGCCGGAGCGCGGCGCTGCTCAGCAGCACCCTTAGAGGTCAGTGTGGCCCTGGCTGACCCTCAGCAGGGCTGTACGGGGACATTTCTGGGTCTGGGGGTTGAGGAGACCTGTAACTCCCTGTTGACCTTTGTGTGACCCTGCCAAAGGTCATGTCTACACAATGGGGGAATGCGGCCTGTCCTGCCTATTTCACAGAGAGCTCTGAGAACAAAAGGAAAGGCGTGGAAAGTGGCGTGCAGAAAGAGGGGTACTGTAGCACCGAAAAGACACTGCTATTTTGAACGAAAACAATGTCCCTCCGCCTGGGAGCTGGCCTTGTTTGCTTTTTGCTCACCTCAGGAGCGAGCATGGCCGTCCAGAGCAGGACGCCAGGGACCTACTCTCCCGTGTGCTGAGTCCTTTCTGAATGACTCAAGTGCACCACAGACACACACTGAGGGCCCCTGCCCAGCCGTCCCCAGCCCCGCAGCCGGGCGCCGGCCCTCACTGCTCTGCTCTCACCAGCAGCGGGGACGGAGGGCACACCTGGGCTTGCCCAGGCCCTGCACTCGCAGATCGCCTCAGCTGGCTGAGGAGATGTCACCCGTCCATACTGAATTGGAAGGGTGGTGGGGTGAAGGGCTGAAGTCTCCCCGAGCCACCCCTGGGCACTCTGACCAGCTCTGCTTTCCTCTCAGACTCTGCACATCAACACTGAAGGAGCCTTTGAGAAGGTGCTCTCCCCCTCCCAGCCCAGCTTACAGTAGGGACGCAGGCTTCCAGAGGCAGGAAGTGGCTTTCGACAGGTCATGAGGCTAGTGTGTCAGTCACACACCACTGAACCCGAGGCACCCTGAGGCCCAGCCTGCTGCCCTGTCCACTGGGATCCACTCCACTGCTTTGATTCTGTTCCTTTGCCTTCCTCCTTTCTCCCACCCTACCCCTCCTTTACATGTTCTGAGAGCTTTCTGACAAAGGAGCCACCTGCAAATGGACTAGGGCCTGGAGGTGTTGAAGCTGAGATCCCTCCAGGCATGACTCTGAAGGCCCTTCCAATTCGATGATGCGCTTTCTCCCATCGCACCTGTCTCCCCACAGCCCACAAGCAAAGGAAGCAGGACATGCTGCAGCCCTGCGACACGGAGTACCCCGTGTTTGTGCACCAGAGGGCCATCCAGGAGGCCAACGGGATCATCGATTGTGGGGCCTGCCAGAAGTAAGACCTGAGGCAGCTCTTCCTGCCCCCGGCCTTGGCCTCGGGGCAGGACTTGGTCACTCACAGGAGCGGGGAGGGGGGTGCGTCTGTAAATGGGGAGGAAGGCGAGGGTGCTCTAAGTGAAAGGGCACGCTCCGGGGTCTTTGTTTCCCAGTCCCCTTAGTGAAGGAAACAGGCTGAGGCAGAGGGTGTGAGGGAGGAGGCCAGGTGGGGGCTAAGGAATGGTGGTCCCGAGGCCAGGTCCTTGTGAGCAAGTCACCTCCACGCCAGGCCCCAAAGCCATCCCAGACAGAAATGATCCCACGATTCAATGTCTATCTCACTCACAACTGCATCGAAGCTCAGTGTCAGGGCCACACGAGCTGAACTCCATCGAGAGATCTTGGAAGGCAAGGGTAGATTTGAGGAAATGACAAGCCAGCTCCCCCTTAGAAATCTGTCTGTGCAGAGAAAGGGGAAAGCATAAGGATGTTCTTAGGAGCACGTGGGCCCAGTCTAGACTCAGCCTTCCCCCATGGAGAGTCCATTAGATCCAACTCGCTCTGCCAGCCTGGCCCAGGGAGGCCTGAATGAAAGTTCCCTCCTGCTGACCCCACCCCTGGCCTCAGGGGCCATGCTCCCTGGAACTTCTCTCCTGGCCCAGGAGGCTGAGATCCCTCCAGGATGTCCCCTTGGTCAGCCTTGCCATTCACCAAGGGCTTCCCAGGATGTCCTTGAGAGACCCCAGACTTCGAGCGAATTCTTTCATAGTGTAGCGCCTCAGACTTCGGCGTCAGACAGTCAGGTTTCCATCTCTCACCCTTGTGTAATGCCAGTGGGATTTTAACTTTACCACAGCGGTTCTCTTGGGACTATTGTTATTTGTGCACTTAGCTCAAAGGCTTGTTGTAAGGATGAAATAAATGCTATGGTGCAAAGCCAAGACTTTAGGGTAGACAGACTTGAGTTTAAAAAGTGGCTCTGCTACTTCCTAGCTGTGTATCCTTGGGCAAGTTACTTAGCCAATTCTAGCCTCCATGTTCTCATCTACAAAAGGGAAAAATTTCATGCCGTGTGGTAAAGGTTATGTACGTGTGTGTGTGTGTGTGTGTGTGTGTGTGTGTGTATACAAAACCCGGAGGAAATGGTCAGTAAGGGCCAGCTGTTATGTAATACACCAGGCCTTGTGCATAATAGGCTCTCCATAACCCTTTACTCATTCCCTCTTCACAGGATTCCTGGGCAGTATGCAGGGGCACTGTGCCACCTCGTGGCCAAGGCTGAGCATTGCATCTTCCCCATATGGCCTGCCCCCACCACATTTAAGCAAGGAGAGCCACACATCCCTATTTGCTTGGTGCAGTCCTGATTTATACCTGTTGTCCTGCATATATTAATAATAACTTTAACTCTCATATATGTTCCAGTTAAGACTTCCTCGCCTTCTCCAATCTGCTAGGAAAGGAGCATTTGCAAAGGCTTGTGGGTAAAATAAACCAATAGGACTGAGTCAGTTGCCCAGGGCTGTTCCTGTAACTGCCCTGATCTGACCTGCCTCATGACTCCATTTCTTCCCCTGCCACCCTAACTCTACACTAGAAGTTTGGGGGTTTTCTCCCCTAGAAGCCCTATGTCAAGCCTTCCATGGATTCCAGGGCCCCGCCTTTCTCTTTGCTGCAGGATATTTGTGATGCAACAGATTCCCAATAGTAACCTTCTCCTCCTGGTGACAGACCCCACCTGTGACTGTAGCATCTTCCCACCAGTCCTTCAGGAGGCTACAGAAGTCAAATATATCCTTCTGATCTGCCAGGATGTGCGGAGTGAGTGAGGGGTAGCGGTGCAGGAGAGATTGAGGGGCTTAGATTTTGAGGCTGAGGCCAGTCTCCCTCACCACTACCATCCCACTCTCCCACACAGAGCATCATTATTGGTTCTCCAAACCTTCCCCCAGGCCCCTGGGTACTGCCTCCTGACCCTGGAAGCCACTTGTAAGGCAGTTGGCCCTACCAGGGGCAGGCTCTTCCAGAACTGAGTCTCCAGAATCAGCTCTTGTCATGAGGCGTTTGCCTTGACAGTGACTCCTGCACATAATGCCTCTATCAAGTGTGACAGAATGCGCTCCCAGAAGCTCCGCCGGCGACCAGATTCCTGTCATGCCTTCCACCCAGAGGTGGGCTGGAGGGGGTTCAGGGGTGGGGTTTGGACTTCATCCCCAAATTCTCAGCACTGTGGCTGTGCCTGCACATGGAAGACATGAGTGCATCTGGACACAGGATGCAACTGCACATGGAAACCTTCAGACACGTGCAGCAAATACTAAGTCAACCAGGATCCGAGGGGCCTTCTACCAATAGAGACACACAGTTCCCAGGGTTTGGGCCCTCAGTGAATCAAAACACAGCATCCCCATATTGTCCTCATTGCTGCTGCACTTAGCTGCAAATGACCTAAGCAAACAGGAAATCATTATGTGCAAAACACTAATGGTGACCAACATGTATTGAGCACCCGCCCTGTGGCAGGCCCTGAGCTGGGTGCTTATACTCAGTATTGTCTTTGCTGAAAATGGCTGCCACAAATAATCCACATCAAAGATGCTCCCAGAGTCAATGGCTTCCCTGAAGTCATTTTAAGAGGATGACCCCGCAGCCACTCCAAGAGGGGGCAAGCAGAGAATTCATGAGCCCAGTTCTGGGGCTGAGTGTACAGCCTCTACTTCCCCCTAAAAGGTAGGGGGTCTGAGAGAGGGGACAGTGCTTCCTCCACTTTCAGAAACCCCCCCCCCTTTCCCCAGGCTTTTGGATCCTATTAGTCCAGAGACCCCTGCCCTACTTCCTGCCTCCTCTGGCTGGTACGTCATCGTGAATGCTGCCCTTTCATCTCTGCTCTGCGTTCCAGGAGAATGCCCAGGACTGTGGCGGCACCTCGGAAACCTGCGCCTCGCTCCCCCTGCTCCTGCTGCCTCTGTGTGCCTGGCTGCTGCCACCCCAGCTGCTGCGGTGACACCCACCCAGTCTGACCTCTGTTTTGACAAGGTAGTCCTTCCAGAGACATTTTAAGGAGTCAGCAACTGACGGGGAACCCAGCTCACTACAGCTGGGTTATCACCCAGGTCAATGCTTATCTCAATGACCCTGCCTCCTGAAATTGCTGGGTGGAACCAGAAACCACTTCCCCAAGACCTTCCAGGGTGCCTGCAACCACCCAGCCCACCTCGAGGGGCATTCTCCCATCCTTCCTACCTCCTCTTCAGGAGCCTAGCATGAGCTCAACTTGGACCAAGACAAAAGGATTTCATTCCATCTATTCTCCAGAAGTCCAGACCCAGCCAAAAATAGGGTCAGCTGTTCTAATGAACCTGGCTGGTCTTCAGTAGAACCAAGGACTTAAAGATACTGAGAAAGAGAGGCAGAATGAGACCAACAATAGCAACAGCTGAAATGAGACAAGGGCAAGAACAATCCCCACAGGAAACATAGCTGCCTCAAAGTGAGATGCACGGTGGGGGGCAGCTCAATTTCCTTCTGCTGCTCAAAAAATTCTAAGAGAGAGAGAGAGAGAGAGAGAGAGAGAGAGAGAGAGAAGAAGAAGAAGAAGAAGAAGAAGAAGAAGAAGAAGAAGAAGAAGAAAAGAGAAGAGAAGGGAAGGAAATAGTAATGGAAAAGACCCCAAATCCTTTTATCCAACATAGCTGCATGTGATGTCTGCAAACTATTGCTATTAAAAAAACTTCTAAAAACATCTTTGTAGTCCCGCCAGTGTGGCTCAGTGGTTGAGTGTCAACCTATGAACCAGGAGGTCATGATTCGATTCCCAGTCTGGGCACATGCCTCAGTTGCAGGCCGATCCCCAGTAGGGGGCGTGCAGGAGGCAGCCAATCAATGATTCTCTCATCGTTGATGTTTCTATCTCTCTCCCTCTCCCTTCCTCTCTGAAATCAATGAAAACATACATTTTTTAAAATCTTTGCAAAGCCCTGATGTAAAGGAACTTTTGCATCTAAGAAAAGCATGAGATGCCCAGCGGCCATGTTGGAAGATAATGGGGTTCAGCAGAGGCGACAGGAGTGGCTGTAGTGGAACAAGGTCCCAAGGAAGAGCAGCCCTCACAGTGGCATGGGGAGGGTCTCCAGAGGGCTGGCTCCACACTCCCCAGGAGGTCCAGGCCCACTGATCTACAAAGAGACTACCTGGCTCTGTTCCTGGGGTTAGAACTTTGGGGAACATTTCAATTTGCCAGGCAGAGCCCACGGAAAGGGAGCTATGTTTGGGAATTCACTCTCCACATACACATTCCTCCAGTATCTTGAGGCCCTGGAATTCCTGCAGCCTGCCCTCTCAGACCTGGCTCCTAAGAGACAGCAATCTCCATTAAAGGCAGAACTGGGCGGGAATTCTGGAGTGACCTCAGATCTTTCCATTTAACCAACCTCCAATGAGGAGATCTAGCCACACCCCATAGTCATAGGCAACGACAGCGCACAGGGCCTTGGGGGGCCCTTCTCAGCCCTCCACTCTTCAAAGTACAAGTTTCCCACCAGTAATTGGCCCTTTCTCTCTAAAGTAGGCCAACTCAATAAAACACATTCATTATATTTGTAAAATGCTTTATGCTATCAATTATACAACGTTACTTTCATTACCACTTAAGTCTCACAACAATCCTGTGAGGTGAGCATTAACAGCCTGTTTACAGTTGAAGAAATCGAACCTCAGAGAAGATAAGGGATTCACTTAGCTAGTTTAAGTGGCAGAATAATGGTAGGAATAGCTAAGGTTCATATGTACCAGATAAAAGCAGTTATTAACCCATTCAACCCTTGCAACATCCCTCTGAAGTAGGTCCTAGTATTAACTCCACATCATAGACCAGAAAACTGAAACACAGAGTTGAAAACTGACTCCAAATTATTAGAAGAATATTGTGAGGTTTGAATGCCATATTCGTAATAATGTGCCTAGCTACTATTACCTTGTTTCATGGAGGGACAGAAATTACAGTTTGGATGCCAGGGACAGTAGGTAAAGGTCACAGTTGCCCACCTGGTGCCGGTGGGTGAGAAGCAGCAGGGAGCCCTTTTTCCAACCCAGTGGCTATCATGGCTCAGAGCTTCCCCATTACCATGTCGCAATGACCTCATTGTGATCAGCATGGCAGCATGAGCACTTCCTAGCCATGGGCCTTGGCCCCCCACATGCCTTTCTTCAGCATTAGTCCTGGCCTCCAACAGCATCTGACCTCAACTACCGCCTCCCAGACACAGACTTCCAGTCTTTCTATAGGAAAATTCAGTGTTGTCTTTTGAAAGGCTTATCTTCCCCACCCAACCAGAGACAACATTTTTAGGCAAATCTAATAACTATTTTAGCCATATAATTTTAAAACCAAGCTTAGGAAGTGCTGTGTCAGATCCTGGCCTCATTTTGTCCACTTAAACCCCATGCCATGCCTGGCCTGCAGTGGACTTTAAGATCTGGAAATCTCTTTCAGAACCAATGATCAAAAGACCATTTCTGATCAACTAGTTTGCTCCTTACCTGGAAGAACAGAACATTCTCTTGAGTTTGCCTTTCTTCAGAGGTCAGAACTACTGTTCCTCTTTCTACTGTTAACAAAATCACTAAAGGGCAGCAGGTGGCAACCTGGCTCAAGCTAAAGAGCCATCACCTTTATTTCAGAGGGACAAAGTTCAAACCAAAGTCATTTAATAAATGACAAGAGTCTGGGGTACAGAATTTTTTTTTTAAGATTTCACTTTTTTTTGCCCTAACTGGTTTGGCTCAGTGGTTAGAGTGTCGGCCTGCAGACTGAAGGGTCCCAGGTTCGATTCCGGTCAAGGGCATGTACCTGGGTTGCAGGCACATCCCCAGTGGGGGGTGTGCAGGAGGCGGCTGATCGATGTTTCTCTCTCATCGATGTTTCTAACTCTCTATCCCTCTCCTTTCCTCTCTGTAAAAAAATCAATAAAATATATTTTAAAAAAAATTTAACTTTTTGTGTGTGTTAATCCTCACCTGAGGATATTTTTCCATTGATTTTTTAGGGAGAGTTGGAAGAGAGAGGGAAAGACAAAGAAATATCGATGTGAGAGAAACACCTCAATTGGTTGCCTCCTGCACATGCCCTGACCAGGGCCCAGGCCAGGGAGAAGCCTGCAACCAAGGTACATGCCCTTGACCGGAATCGAACCCAGGGCCATTTGGCACACAGGCTGATGCTCTATCCACTGAGCCAAACCGGCTAGGGCTGGGGTACAGAATCTTGAAACCCTTTCCCTATAAATGCTGCACATCATTGGGGGACCCAGAATTCAAGGCTGCTGTGAGAGCCTCCTTCCTCAGTACAGAGACATATTAACTTCTAAATTCACTTAATAATTTTGTGTATTTTAATAGAAGTGCTTTCAGGTAAAATGCTTCTATAGTCACTTAATGGTGCTAAGTGAAGTTTTGGTTCAGGAGAGCAAAGTAGTGGACATATCTTAAAGTCAGAAAAGTAAATATGGGGGAGTCACAGACCACAAAAGGGAGAAATTAGAGCAAGAGTTTGGCAGAAACGCCAGCCCATCACAATGGGAAATTAGAGAAATGTTGATCCGTGAGAGCACTTCACAGAAAGATGCAAAGGATGTTAGAAACCCCATTTTAACAGGTGAGAAAACAGGGCTGGGGACATGACTTCTCGCCTGTCACCTGGCAAATGGCAGAGCTGCACTCTGAACCTACAGCTGTTTCTAGGTCAGTGTAGCTAGCAGGGGTGGTGGCTGAGCAGTAATGAGAGGCTTTCGTGTTCATGCAGCTGGACCCCTGCTTCCTTGGGTCCCTGAGCCCCCTCCATGCCATCACAAGCAGAAGTTACAAGAGCCAGGCTGACTTTGTTTCACCAAATCAAATAGTTGAAAACAGGAAATATTTGCACATTAGGATACAGGGAGTGGCAGTCCATAGTTCATGCCCATGAGAATACAGAATGTGCTGTAACTGAAGCAAAATACTCAAGATGATATTATTTCTGGGGTAATTTTAAAGCAACAATGCCCAAAGGTTTCTCTAGACTACCCAGAGCCCTAGCAATCTATAGTCAAAATTCAAACTTGCCCTTATCTATTTGCTTTACAATATCCAGAGGATATTGAGGAGTATATACTAGTAGACAGCTTGGAAAAGGCTAGGAAAAAATGAAGTGGATTATTTGTAGGCTTCACCTTGTTTTTCAAGAGCAGAATGCAATCCAGTGTTCTCTATGCAGATAATATGGAAAACCTTTAATATTTATCTATACCTTAAAATGAAAACTCAGAGTGGACATATTATCCCAATACTGGAAATTCTCCTGCAAAACTAAATTTACCTAAGACAAAAGTTAAAAGTCTTCTTTAGTTACATACTAGTAAAAGGGTTAAAAATCCTCAAAACTTTTAAGTCAATATACATAAAACTGTCTAATCTGAATTTTCTTCTTAAAGAACACCGGCAGTCAGCCTTAGCTTTTCTGATTTAGTTTTTGCACCGATGTAATGTAAGCTGATCAGTTCAGAGGGTTGTAGTTGGGTTATGTGACATAGCAAGAGTCCTTTGCATAACGTGTTCATTATATATTAGTTTCATAAACTTTAATAATTAAGGAGTTAGCCCTCTCCTCTATTCTAAACCTGGTCAAAGGTCAGAGTTCAATTCCCGGTCAGGACACATGCCCAGGTTGCAGGCTCAATCCCCTGTAGGGGACATGCAAGCAGCAGCCGATGGATGATTCTCTCATCATTGATGTTTTTCTCTCTCTCTCTCTTCCCCCCTTCCTCTCTCTGCAATCAACAAAAACCTATTTTAAAAAGTAAAATAAACTTGGTCAGAAAGGTTGAGAAGTGAGCTGGGTATGCGAATTTTGGCTTGTGAATTCAGATTAGAAAGTTTCTGAAAATTCCTTAAGCTTCAGTGTCGAAATTAACACTTCAAGTCAGAAATGCCAAAAGCTCTGGGGTGGTAAGCTGAGACAGTGAAAAAAAT